ATTTAGTATACAACTGTAACTAAGGACATAAATGATATGAAATATATTCAAATTTTGCAAACACTGTTTAAAGAGATAAAAATTAAAGTGTCAATGAAACTATGACATTAGCAGTGTTCTTACAGATGATGTTCAAACAGTAAACAATAATCACATAATCCTAATGGTACGATAAACAGGCTTATATAATTGCACAATGATAATTCTTTTACAGATTCTCTCTTTTCAACCATACACATACATATCATCTAAACCGAAACGCCATATGTCAATAATGATTGCAAATTCTGACTAATAAAAAAATCTATGTCTCAAGATATTTGCAGATTTAAAACTAGCCATCACCCGTCATAAAGACCACCACACTTAAAAATGACGCAGACCATTGCACTTCAGTGTGACCATCGCACCTCCAAGTCCTAGACCTACATATATATAAATTGACCCCCTTGGATTTAAGGAAAGATTCAAAAGGCACCCAACCCATGATTGATTTTATCAGAGACATATAAATTGTATTATATGTCTCTGATTTTAATAACAAATCTGGTTTTGTTATTTTAACTTTTAGAAATATGTAGGAAGAAAAAAGCATAATAAAATGATGGAATTGAGTTAAAAAATGTTTGACTTTTTGAAAAATATATGATATGTGCTATGAAGTATGTAGAATAAGATATACATGGACTGGACAATTCCTTTCAAAATGAATAAAAAGAAATGTGGGTATATTTCAATGAGACAACAAACCAAGTTAAAAATATGAAGGCATTCAGTAATTTGCAATGACATAGTCAATTCATGAAATGCTAGAGTGTTTGTTTTCAATTGATCTGCTCTTTTTTTTTTTTTTTTTTTATCTTAACCCCAATGGCATAACTCAGATTTTCAAGGTGATCTGAACACTAAGAAAATTCTGACTACCTAATAATGGTGGCCACAAATATTTTACTCAGACTGAGCAGTGAGACAATACCACGAACACATTCCAACCTTTTTATTGAAAATCTAAAACTGTGACTTCTTGCAAAATTGTTTTAATTAGATTTTTAAGTTTTCATTATTTAAATTGGTCTATATCATCAGGAATACACCTGAAGAATGTTTTAGGCTAAAATCCTTGACCTTGTCGGCATGCAAATAAAGATGTTTCATCACCTTTTAAAATTGTACAATAAAAGTTGATGTTATCATTGTATAAATAGTTTTAAACTTGGACACAAAGAATGTTAGGTTTAATCCTTAGATTGATTTTTGATATGGACTTTGATATAGGTGTAAATATCAAGTGTCTGTCTAGAAATGGATTAAGTTTTGGAAATTTTAAAATTACCATTACTTGTCTAATTATACCCTGCTCTTAAAGGAGGAGGTATTCTTGTGTACGTCTGTCTATGTTTCTGTCTGTCATTCTGTCCGTCCATTGGTCCTATAAATTTGTTTAGATCAGAGCTAGCTTCTTAAATATGGTTTGAATCATCACACATCAACTTCCTGTTTACCAAATACTTATATATTTTTACCAAAAAATGGTCCTGTATGAAATTTTAGTCGCATTTTTATCAAGAACTACAAATCAAGGCTTTCTAGAACTTGGAATCAGACTTCATGTGAGCATGCTATACAATATGATGTATTTTCACACCCATTGCTCATCAATTAATTGCCAACTGAATTCTTATAGGAGATATCCATCATTTGTTAGCAATGGCAGTCACAGTTTAACTTGATGTAACTGATCTTAATAATGACATTGATAGTATATAGCAGTTGGGTTGTCATCAAAATTTCTAATGTGCAAACAGTTTGCAAGTCTTTTCACCAGTAGTACTAATATGAATAAGCTCTAATGTTTTGAATGGAAATTCAAGACGACAGCTTACCTGAAGACTTCTTCAGTGACTACCAGAAGAAAGTATACAAAATGAAAAATTGGAGAGAGGAGAGTGGCAATGTTGAATTGAAACAAAACAATTAAGAAAACCAAAACAGATATCGTTATTGCAAATGGCTGTTTTTCTTTAATTGTTTAACATTTCATACCGATATAACATGTTACTTTTATTATTCTTCTCTTAGTTTATTTATTTTGTATTTACATTGTATCATAGGTCAAATTTATTTGTTCAGTGTATGTTCAATGGTGTTAATATGTCCTTTGATTGAGTTAAGCTATTTCAGTTGATATTTTATAGTGTGTCTTTCTATGTTGTGATGTTACACTATTGTTTCAGAAAAAGGGTGAAGGTTTGGTACCATTAAAACGTTTAAGCCCGCTGCATTTGTTTGCACCTGTCCTAAGTCAGGAATCTGATGTTCAGTAGTTGTCGTTTGTTGATGTGGTTCATAAGTGTTTCTCGTTTCTCGTTTTTTATATAGATTAGACCGTTGGTTTTCCCGTTTGAATGGTTTTACACTAGTAATTTTTGGGGCCCTTTATAGCTTACTGTTCGGTATGAGCCAAGGCTCCGTGTTGAAGACCGTACTGTGACCTATAATGGTTTACTTTTATAAATTTTGACTTGGATAGAGAGTTGTCTCATTGGCACTCATACCACATCTTCTTATATCTATCTAGAGGTAACCATATGGTCTTTACAACCCCTAAATCATTAAGCAAACCTCTTTTAAATCAGGACATCTCCTTTTTTTTATAATTAAACTTTATCCTTACATGGAGGTTACTAAACCTGTGAAAACCATGACCATATCTGCCATATATGTGAACGATATTTTTTCAACCGAAAATGGTAAAGTAAAGATAGGTTTTACTCTAACACTTACACCAAATTCTGTTTTGTAAAAAAAACAAACATGTAGAAACAATGAATAACACTTACAACATCCCTGATAGTGTACAAATAAAAATATTTTGCAAGGTTAAAATTCAACTCTATCTATTGTCTGTGGTAGAAAACATTGGGAAAAAATACAATAAAAGTAAAGAAGAAAAAAAATAAATTTTGCTTACACTTCAGCCTTCTTAATATCATCAATATCATGCAGACTGATCAATGTACTTCTAAATAAATTTCAAATGACAATTTAAACACTTAAATAAATTTAGATATTAACAATATAATTTGTAATTTTTAAAAAGCAATCTGATTAGTTAATTACCTGGCTGTAAATAGCACCTCATCCTGGCAAAGCTATTTACATCCAGGGATCAAAGGTGGATTTATTGGGGGAGGGGACCTGTGCAACCCTTAGAGAGCTACATATTTGGTAAATATATAGAATATTTTTAAGTCCCACTCCTAATGTTGTCTGGTTGGTGGGCTACCTATTTCAAAATCATTGATCTACATCTGGGGATAATTAAAACTGCATTTCCAAAAGCACACAACTGATCAACTTTCTCCATTAAGTGAAAAAGGCATATACATTTTGGAAAAAACCACTGCAGAGAGGGTAAAAAGGCATATCCTTGAGCATATATACCCAGGCAATGTCACGTACACTTTAGTCTGTTTTCCAGTATGTAAAAATGTGTTGTGAGCTAGTTCATATGAATTTTTCAATTTTCAGCCCAGGTATAAAAATGAGTAAAGGAAACTTCATAAGAAATATTTTGTTATCTTGGTGTAATTAGGAGTGTACAGAATTTTACACTGTTGTTGACTTCTGTGCACCCCTGATTACACCAAGATAAATAATAATGTCTAACACAAACCAGGAAAGCATCTGCATCAAATTCATTTCACCCCTGGTATACCTTTTATTTGAGAGTCTTTGGTAGATTTCCTCTGGGTGTGATTTCAAACAGACTGCAGTCATTCTGTTATTTATTAAAAGTATAAAAATTGTTTTTTCCTCATTTTGGGAATTTGGTGTTAATGGCAGATCTTTGATTATAAGTTTCTGTTAAATTGATTTGCTACTCACTTTTAGACTGTGTGATTTAGAGTTTTACATATTGTATTGACACCTGTCTGTTTTTGAAGACTGTCATGCTGACCTCTAAATGTCTTTTGGATTTTTATATTAGTGGGTTGCTGTCTCATTGAAGTATACCCCACATCTTTTTGTTAATAATTTATATTAGGTGTTTTTTACCCTTCATGCATGCACACTTTTTAATTATGATCATTGAAAACATGAACTGAGTGAGGTTAACTATGGTAGCATTTTGAAACACACTATACTCATAGAAGGGATAGAAGAGATAATGATAAGTTAGTAGCCTGTTCACAAAACTGTATAAGGTTTTAAATGATGTTGATTTAAATAACAAATGATTTTATAATACCTTTACACTTGTTGCTTTCCATCAATAAATAGTTGTTGACTACAAGATGTTACCATACTTAATAATGTAACTTATTGAAAAATGGAAAGAGCACCAGATTTAAGTCTAAACAATATATTTTAAGAATGAATTTCTTCTGCCTTTCAACTGTTTGAAAAGTTTTCAACACTCTGCCTTTGATTGATATTGTAAACTATTATGGAACACACAAAACCAAAAAGACATCTATTTTGGTAAACATTTCCTTAAAGATGTTTCTGTATAATTTTTAAGAAGTAGTACACTTCTGTAATATGTTTATAAGTGAATGGGAAATTGACATACCAGTCAAAAAATAAATGGCAATAAGAAAAGGTAATTTAGAATGGAGCATGAGCAAGTTTAAACAAAATTTAGGAATTATACCGAATGCTAGGTGTAAAAAATCAGTTGGAAACACAATGTCAAATAGAATAAAAGGGAAATTAAAATTTTAAATCTGGTTATTTGTGTAAATAGATTTGTTTCCATCATATTAAACATGTCTGCTTCGCATTTAAATACTATGTGAGAATTTTCATTCCTCAGATATTTATTTGGCTGAAAAAATAACCACAGGAAATACAGAATTTACATTAATATAATATGTGAGAACTAATTTAAGTTGAAAATGAAACTGAATTAAAGCATTTTTACAAACAGGTTGACGAAAAGTTACCTTAAACTAAAATAACTGTAGTTAGTCATTTTAATTATTGATATATTTCAGAGTTTAATAATGGGGAACAAACACACGACATCAAAGAAGGATGTGGAATTTCCTGGTGAAATAAGAGGAAGGAGCAGATCCTTTACAGGATTTTCTTCAAAATTTCGTCGGAAAAGTAAGAGTCCAACACGAGAACGCAGCTCATCTGTTTCAGAGCAACGTCCAAAAAGAGGAAGCTTAAAGTCTAGTCAAAATAGTGATACTTATTCTGGTCAGAATGGTCATTCAAAATTGTCAAAAACTAATTCACTGCCTATGGACGGTACGAGTAAACCTGTTACTCTTAATTGGAATAAAAAGTCTGCCAAGGAGGACAAAAATGATTCCTCCAATTCAATATCTACCTCAGCTCCTTCTAGATCTCGGTATATGCCTCATCATCATAATTCATCAACAATCACATTTTTGGAGGGGAAGGATACACTTGGGCGGGACACAATTCGTAAAAGTTTTACACAACAAGAGATGGAGGAATCCCCAAAGTCTACAGCAAAAAGGATGAGGCAACTCACCAATGTTATATATGGAGATAAATTAGCTAATCTTTCTCTACGCAGAGGACTTGCAATACAAAATCGTGACATGTCTTTGTCACAAGCAAGCCTGTCAAAGATCTCGATGAAGTCTAGGTCACTTCATAGTCTGCTGTCAACAGATTATGAGAATGATGAATTTGAGGACAATATTTGTGTTTGCTCAAATGAAAAAAGTCCAAAACAACAGGATTTTTCCCAAAGTAATGATTTCTATTTTATGCGACCAAGGACAGGATCTGCTCCAGCAAGTGAATTTACACAAAAAGGAAAAATTGCTATGGGAGCAGGTGACCATCAGAGAAGAAAAATATCTCATCAAATGCCGTTAGAAAGTACTCCTAAAGAAGTAGTTAGAAATGCAGGATCATATGAGAAGGTTAATCGTAGGTCTCCTGAAGAGGTTATTCAAGCCAGAAGAATGCTTGTATTTAGAGCTCTGAAAACAGAAGATGGGGTTGTTTCCCCTGATGATTCTAAAATACAAAATAAAATTGCAAATAATGGAGGTCATGTATCACCAATGAAGAATCTAAGAAATGTAGGTGTTGGACAAAAATCTCCCACAAAGGAATGGGTTAATTCAGCAGAATATTTTAAACAAGACTCACACAATCATGCCATGCATGGCAACAGACTAGAGTCACCTAATTCTTTTGTGTGTAGCAATAGCTCAGATAGTGGCTCAGCACCAAGCAATGACTTGATTTATTATGCTGCATCTCAAAGTGAAAACTATAAACTTAATTCTGGAAGCAAATTAGTGGCAGGAAGAAGCTCCGATGCTTTATTTGATAACAGATCTGTCTCAGCTGGCAATAGATCAAGGTCACCAGTAAAAAGGTCATCCTCACCAATTAATAATGAACAAAGAGCAATATATTCACAAATTGTTTGTACCCAAAATTTGAAGAAGTTGCCTGTTAAGGAGGATCAAAATCCTAGAACTCTAGAAAAGAACAGAAATCCAAAAACACCAACCAAAAATGTACTGCCAAATATTGATGAATACAAAGTTTTAAGTTCAAATGTATCTAAAGGTGACCGCTGGGGATCTTATGAAACTTTAACAAGAAAAGCAAAAAATAATGATGAATTTATTAATCAAGAATATTATCTTATGAGAGAGAGGAGTCATAGCTTCTCTTTGTCTTCACCTAAGCCAGGTTTTCGAAAAGAGAAGAGGATTGAAAAATCTTTTTATGATGATGTGTGCATTTCGCCAATAATGGACTATGAACAGTCTCCAAGATTACGTACAAGAAGCAATAGTTGGTCAGTTCTCCATGAAAAGCATAACATATCTCCGAGGTCAAAGGGTCAGCAATCCATGAATAGATTATGGAGTTACAGTGTGACATCACTATCTGACATGAGTTCAGAACTTTCTGGAAATTACTCACAACGCTTTCTTGATGACAGATTTAATGGAGAGGGTGGTAAGTAAAGGTTGTTAGTCATGTATTTACACTAAGGAAATGTTCCATCTGCTATTACAGAAAAATTCATACATAAATACATTTATATAACATAGAAAAATACAAAACTCCAAGGAAAGTCCCTTTTCAAATGGCAAAATCAAAAGCTCAAACACATCAAAGGAATGGAAAACAACTGTCATATTCCTGACTTGGTATAGGCATTTCCTTTTGTAGAAAATGGTGGATTAAATTGATTGATTGATTGTTGGTGTTTAACACCATTTTCAGCACTATTGGTGTTTAGTTGTAGCATTAAGCAATTTTTACATACTTTCTGTAAGCAGATAGTTTGTTACAACGATCATTGTACAAGGAAAATTTTCTTCAAAGGTTTGTACGGAAGAAATATGTTTTAATATTTGGTCTGCGGTTTGATAATATTGAGTTGTAGCATGTAAGCAATTTTTTTACATTTAACTTACTGCTGCATCCACTTCGAGTGTTTTGCCAATAGTTTGAAATTTTAAACACTCATTGTACAAGAAAAATGTTCATCAAAGTTTTATTGGCTCCAATGATCAGTTATGCTCCAAAATATATGTCATCTCAATCAATTGTATGCAGCAACACAGGTACAGACACTGCTTTTAAAGACACTTTAAAAACTACAACAAAACAACAAACACACAAGTATAAAACGTCAATATTTAAGGTGTAACACTCAAAACATGGTAAATTTAAAGCATCAATTTATAGGTTACTCTCACTGTGTTCTTTAGGTGATGATAAAGTCGAGATTATCAATTTACTTGTACCTGATGGAAATAATATAATTCATAAGAGAAGAAAAAATTATTCAGTCAGAAGTAACTGTATTGCGAGTCAGTCTAATCAAAGAGATCTAAATATAACCTCCTTGTCTCATAATTAAAAGTTTAACTATTTAATGTGAAATTTTCCTGTTACAGTCCCTTATTCTTGACCCTTAGAACTATATATTACCTGCTAGGTGGAATGTACAGTAAAAATCCAATTGAAACCCCCAAAAAAGCATCCAAAATTAAAAAAAAAGATAAAGACTTTTAAAAAAAAATAAAAAAATATTGTTTTCTCTAAAAGAAAAATCACATTTAAACCAATTTTACTTAGAGCTCCTATAGTCTGTTGTACTCGTCGTTTGCAATTTAGGAGGGAATGATAATCAACATTATATGGAAATTTTGTTTTTATTTCAATTCATTTTTATTGTGACTATTTACCAAAACTTTTTCTTGTTAATTTATATAATTAAATGTGTCCTTGCTAAAATGAAACAAACATCGAAAAGATCAGGTTTTCAGTGTTTAAAGGGGAGGTAATATTTTGACACTAGATTTCCCACTGCAATAGGGAACATATTTTATGTATTGTAGTAATCAAACTATTTTGTAGATGATTCTTCAGTTTCTCTATTATCATTCTAACCTACTTGGTAGACATGTCACTTTTCATTTATATATATAAAATTAAATAATTGAAATGTTTAAGTATCAATCTGTACAGAAAATTTAACTTTCAAATATGCAGAGATCTATGGTTCAAGATTGCTTTTCTTTTTTGTTTAAAAAGAGATCAACTTGTTTTCAGATTCTGATTCCTTCTATAACAGTCCATTAATTATCTCAAGAATTAAGAATGCACATTATTTTTTATTACATTTTTATGTGAAATGTGCTGGTTCATTTGGATAACCAGCTCAGGCAGCTGTCCTGACAAAATCTTTAAAAATCTTATTACAATTTTTGTAAACAAAATCATCATTTTTAAGAAAAAGATTTAATATTTGATTGCATCATATTAAATATCTTAATCTGAAGTATATACTTAGGTTGATAAAATGTATATTTGAATGGGTCTTTGAAGTAATTTTTAGAATCTAGAGTAAGATGTTTGTTCTCTATACATTGATATTGATCTGACTGACATGTGATTTAAGAGATTGTGTTTTGGTATGGTTTCTACATTTTGAGTAGTAAATGTATGCTTTGAAATAGAAAGCAATTATGGATATATTTGAATTTTTTTTATAAATTAAATACTATGATATGAAAATGAGATACTTCACTCAAAATTGCTGTATATCTTTTTTAAAAAAATGACACATGTCCTAAAACTATAAACACATATGTATAAAGTTGTAGGATGTGGGATACATTGACATGTTACTCACACACAGTACTTCTAGTACCAATCAGTCTATATGCAACATTCCTGAAGGCAACACAAAGGGTCAGTCTTGCATCCAATCCAGCAAACTTTGTCCAGTGCTTGGCAATGGGGTGGAATTTAAACCCAATTATTTACATGATGAAGATCACAGAACTGGCAGTTTTAGTTGTATTTGTCATTTCAGTTGTCTAGAAGTATGTTGTTTTTAATGGGTAATCAAATTTGTGTAAATTATTAGCTTTTCCTGAAATATTAAAATGCTTTGTATCTACAGTAATATAACAAAATTTTGAATGAAAAAGATCGTCACTGTTAGCCTCATCCCCTGTTCAGTGGAGCTGAAAAGATATAGAGATCTCCCACTTTGTAGATCCAAAAAGTAATAACTCACAAATATGAATTAAGTCACCATCAAACATATAGTTCAGTGCTAGGTCATTATATGAGCGAGAAATAACATATTTCAAAGAAGATTTGTCTTCAAGTTATATAGGTCAAGGTCATCACATACCATCAGGCAAAAAACTTTTTGGTACTATATAGATTTTAGTTTATCTAATCATCTGTTAGCATTGTAGGCAAAACTTGTTAGATTACAAGGGAAGCCTATCTTTGCTTTGACCTCTCTCTTTTTGCCCCCTGTGCAACACGTTGCGGGGGACATAGAAATACCAGGTGTCCGTCCGTCCAGTCTTGTTAGCGCCCTCACGTGTACATTTCTCGCCAGATTTTTATGAAACTTATATCATAAGACTATATCAGCAATGTCTTGGACGAGTTCGAAAATCAGTGCTGATCAATTATTTTTAAAAGAGTTATGCCCCTTGGAAACATTAGTTATATGGAAAATTGCATCGTTAGTGCTCTCATGTGTACAATTCTTGCCAGAATTTTTTGAAACTTAAATTATAGATTTATATCAGCAATGCCTTTGACGAATTCGAAAATTAGTGCTGATCAGAAATTTTTAAAAGAGTTATGCCCCTTGGAAAAATTAATTATATGTAAAATTGCCTTATGATCGTCTTATGTGTACAATTCTTGCCAGACGTTAGTGCCGATCAATTATTTTTGAAAGAGTTGTGCCCTTGGAAATATTGATTATATGGAAAATTGCATAGTTAGAGCTCTCATGTGTTCAATTCTTGCCAGAATTTTATGAAACTTATATCATAGATTTATATCAGCAATGTCTTTGACACTTTCAAAAAATAAGTTCTGATCAAATATTTTTAACGAGTTATGCCCCTTGGAAATATTAATTATAATGGAAATTACATTGCATTTGCTCTGAAGCCTTCATTTCTCTAAGATATTAATAAAAAGTTTTAAAGAACCAAAAAAAGTGCTTTTTTTAGTTATTGCCCTTGTACCTTGGATAGATAAAATATGTGCAACATGGGGGACATTGGCACTCTGTTCTTTCATTTCTTTTTTGATAAGAGTGCTTATAGTTTGGATGTACAAAATTTATGTAAAGAAGTTTCTGATTCCTGCAGGAATTATGTCACATATATATAACAATCACATATTTATAGAACATGTGGACTCCCTTTACCTCAATCTTGCACATAAAAAAAGCTGTTTTTACCTTCTGTTTTTGAGATTTGCAAGAAATCAAGATTGGATATATGTAGAAATATCAAGTGTAAATTCATATTTTGACGAGTGAGATTGGTTTCGGACACTGTTTAGGTTTTCTAATAAAACATAAAAAAGAAGATAAAGAAATGTTTGCTACAGTTATTGTGGAAAAGGGGCAGATTGTTTTTACAACAAAAACACAAAATTAGATACACCCTTGGTACCTGTGAAACACATGTAACAAAAAAAGGATTATTAAAAAAATTTGATCCTGCTTGAGATTACAACTGTATTGTGTTTTTGTTAAAAATTTCTAACAATAATGGTAAACATTTGGAATGAGCCTGAGGTCAACATGAACTAAAATGATAGTAAAGTTCTCACTTTGCACTACCAGTAGTTAATATGAGGTTTATACTTTATAGAGCACTTATAATGATATGTAGACTGAAGGTTGAATTCTGCATTGAATTTTTGCTCCTATTTTTCAAAAGGTGGATTTAAATCTTTAAAACTTCTTTGCCTGCTCATACATTTGATTCAGAATCTAAAACTTGTCTTAATTACATATAATTCAATAACTTTGTCAAATGTTTATTGTTTTTTCTTAAATTTATGGAAGCCACTATATTAAAAGTAAGAAAATATTTTCAATGACTACACTAAATTTTGAATATTTTTCCTGATTAATAATGGTTACTACAAACTTACTTCTGTGCATCACTTTAAAACGTGGTAATGTGGCTATAGTTTTTAGATTATGCTGTAGTCACATGCTGATACTACGGGTCCATGCAACCCTTTTGAATTTTATTATCTTTTCTGGCCAATAGGGTCATCTGGGCTATTGCCATCACTTTCTGTCTGTCAGTCTTGGGTAAAATTTACACATTTTCAGCTCTGGAAACTTGGACCAAAAATAACCAACTCGCGAGAATTCCTGATTGTTAAGAAAAGCGCTTAGTGGAGCGAGGCAAATAATTGTTTGGACAATGCAATGCTTAAAAATTATTATACATTTTCAAATCAAAAGGGGGATGGGTGCATAGGCCTCTATACGCCCCTGAATTTATCACTAGGGGGACTCTCTGTTCAGTCTTGAATTGAAAACCATCATTATTTTATTCTCTGAGCTATTTTGCCATTCATTTATTTATTTGTGTGAATGTTTTCATCTGAAGTCACCGGAGCAGTTTTACACCAAATTAGGTTATAATCACTCTTAAGATGTTAAGATTTTAACTATCACTATAGATTATACACAAGTATTGGCTATTTCATGTTTCTATACTAGAAAAGAAAGGATTGGGGTATCAATCCATGACACAGAGTCTGTACATGCACAGCAAAAAAGCACAAAAAGCAAAGGAACAGTGCTTTATTGCTGTTCTTCATCTCAAAGTCTGTTTATTTAGCCTTAATGATAGTCCTTTGATGACCACCTTCCAGATTTTGGCAAATGACCTGTTTCATACAACCAAGATGAACCTTATTAACTAGATATATGTTATGAAAAAATGTCTGAATGATTTGAACTGACCTTGTCTGGAAAATGCTATCACAGCTGAAGTTTTCATTAGTTGTTACCTCCCTTGGACTATTAGACAGATTAGATATTCACATAACACTAACTATTACATAAACTCCTTCCTGATTGATTTAGCTAGTACATCTTGTACATTTCAATGATACTTATTTTGAAAATGTCTAAATCATTGCTATGGTGTATGGATACTGGTGTAGATGAATTAAGAATTTATTAAGAAACTAAGGTTGCAACTCCATCAGGCAAACTTCAGATCTTAGATTAATTTGGCTATTATTTTTAAGTCCTTTTGGGTCATATAGCTCTATGTACAACACATCCTTGGCTTTTAATTTTTGGGCTTTGAGTGTTCTTGGTGAAGTTTATTGAATTCCAGAAAAGTGCTTTTAAGATGCATACAATTTTTAAAGTGTTATTTTCATTTTTTCTTCTTCATTAACTCAAATGAGTCTGTGCCCTTTATCAGTTCAGTGTCCTCACAAGTAGCCATCAATAGTAAGGGGGATATAAAGACTGAATTGGTCAGGGTTAAAGTTGTCATATAATTCTCAATAAAGATTTCTATCCTCTGTTTAATATTACCAAGAGAGACAACGCTTATTATTTGCAAGTCAGATTTGTTGAAGTTTTCTTGATTGATGAACTTATCAGTTGGAAAGTTTAGTTAAAGATAATAATTGTTTATTTCAAACTTTTATTGAAAGGGAATGTCACAAGGTCAAAAAAATTTGGAAAGTAATTCTCTGAACTTCTTCTATATATGCTGGGACATAATATATTGATTGACATGCTCCCAGCAATATGCCAGAATATTTTTTACACTTGTTTGCATAGTTCATTCCTCCTATTCCCATTTTTTATAAATATGGTAAGAAAAGTTAAAATTGTGTGTGGGAATGGGGGGGGGGGGGGGGGGGGGGGGAGTGGGGAACTTGTGCAAACAAAGGATTATACTGTATAAGCATTGTTTAATCAAATCTTAATTGACAAGTGTTTTTTTTTGTATGTGTATGAATTCTGTGTTTTTAATTTAAATAAATATGAACGAAATAGAAATAAAATGCTTCGCTGAGCGCAGCCTGAAACGACCGCAGAGGTCGAACCCTGAACAGTTGGGGCAAATTTGGACACAATATTCAAGCTTGATACTGTCTGAATTTGGATTGTGATCAAATTTTTGACATAATATAGGTTTCTGACACAAAATAAATGTGGTCAAAGATCTTATAAATCCATTGCGCAATACTGTGCAATTGAAGATTTCTTCTTGAAACTTTTAAAAAATTCGAAATTTTATCCCTTAAAAAAATCCCCCCCCCCGAACTTTATGAAACCCCCCTTGGAGCAATAACCCCAAAACTCAATCCCAGCCTTCCTTTGTAGTATGGAACCTTGTAGAACAATTTCAGAGAGATCTATACACTTACACACAAGTTATTGTCTGGAAACTAGAAAAATGCTTGTTTTTGGCCCTTTTTTGGCCCCTTATTCCTACATGTTTGGGGCAATTAACCCCAAACTCAATCCCAGCCTTCCCTTTGTTATATGGAACCTTGTGGTACAATGTCAGAGAGATCCATACATTTACACACAAGTTATTGTCTGGAAACTAGAAAATGCTTGTTTTTGGCCCCTTTTTGGCCCTTAATGCATAAACTGTTGGCCCCATAGCCCCTAAAATGAATCCCAAACTTCTACTTGTGGTATTAAACATTGTGGTACAAATTCAGAGCAATCGAAATACTTGTACACAAGTTATTATCCTGAAACAAGAAAAATGCTTGTTTTGGGCCCCTAATTCCTAAACGGTTGGAACCATCATCCCAAAAATCAATCCCAACCTTCCTTTTGTGGTATTGAACCTTCTTAAAAAATTTCATAGAGATCCATTCACTTAAACTGAAGTTATTGTCCGGAAACCAATGTGTCTTCGGACGACAACACAGACGACGACGACATCATACCATTATACGATCCCAAAAAATTTTTTGCGGTCATTTAACAAATATAAGTAAATTATATCAATACTTTTAAAACACAAGTTCAACACTAGATTCAAGCAAACATTACAATATGAAACAAACAATACAACAGCACTAAAACAAATCACACATTGTAGTACACACTAACACACATTAGAAATTCACTGTATATAAGTCTATTAAAGTTTATTAATTTATTCAATGTGAATAAGGTGGGAGGATACATCACCAAACTGTACTGTTGTGACTTCCTGGTTGCGGTATCCATCCCTAAGCTCATCTAATCTGCTGTCGATTTCAACATATTTTCGTTTTTGGGCCACTCTTCCCACCGGCTGCATACTGGATCATTGTCAGGGCGTAGCTTCCTCATGTGTCAATCTTTTTATGAGTTTAAATATGTTTGGATGTAGGTGCTGGACATGTTTCTTCAGCTTGCTTGGCCATTAAAGATGATGTGTAGTCCTCAGTTCCTGTGTTGTGTAATGGTCCCATCAGTATTTTGTTACATAGTCTGTAAAGGGTGTGTAGTTGATGTTAGTATCAATCTGATATATGTCAGTTAGGGCATTGAACAACCGGTCTTCGATCTTGGCAGAAGCTGGGAACAGTATATTTATCGAAGTTTTTTGGTAAAACTGGTAGGTTCTTTTTGCGTTTGTTGTACATGGAAATCTTGCAAGATGGGAACGTTTTAATATTATCTATCATCAATTTATGTGTTCGAATGACAATTTTTTAGGTTTACAATTTCAATGATTTTTTATTCTTACTTCTTTTTATCTGACTTATTCTTTATTTTATGGTAATTCTTTGAAGGAGAAAAACATATTACAAATAAACAGTGTATTAATTTTTATTTTTGTTTAAATAATATAATTAAACAGTGTAAGAAATATGTTTTCTTTTAGAAAAAAATACGTCTAGGTTAGTCTATGGAAGGTATATACTATGAAATTTATATTTAATTTCATAGTATATACCTTTTCATAGACTATCCAATTTAGCACATATTTACAACTCGAGTAATCTTTTAATTGGTCTATAGATAGTTTATTTTGGCTGACTACTTGTATCACAGGTGTTTGTAAAAAGGAGCTCATTAACGAAGTTTTGTAAATCTACTCACTAGTATTATTGTAAAATATGTGGTTTCAAAAGGCCCTTCACTCCAGAATGAAAAGATGGTAGCTGCTGGTGTAAGTATGTATACTGATATAAAGCGGTGTTTTACTATACATGTTCTTCTTACATGGTAAGATGACAAAATAAATTGACCAAAAGCAGGCAATAATTAAATTGCAGTGGAAGCTTTACATGTTTTGAAAACATTTTTTAATTTCACTGTAAAACTAAAGCTATAATAAATTTGAAACATAGAGATAGTTTGTCCCCATAGATATAGTCTAGCAGATAGGCATTAAAAAGATCAGAGATTATAGGTTTTGTGTGTTTTTTTTTTATTATTTCAAAGTAAAAACTAAAAGATTTATCAGAATATGTTTATATATATATATAGGTGGCACATTCTCTTCAGACATATATAATCACAGTTTTTCAATTCATGACATCGTCCTGAACATGCATGAAATATTTGCCACTGGACATTAAGCAACCAATAATCAATAAATCAATCAATTCATGACGAAATAGATCACCTCCCTTAAGAAAGTTTAAAAAATTATCACCAAGTTGCTTTAATTTTCCTGCACAAGGTTTCATAGTACACACTTTTCTGTGTACAAAGTAATTGCATGGATAATACATTATCATAATTTTAAGATATCGTTGTACTCTAATCAAGGTATAAAGAACCATATGTATTACCCTTTATTTAAATGATAAAATTTGCAATTGTCAAAACAATTTTTAGATCCAAAGATTTTAATAGCAGGATATTTAAAAATCAACGTGAAAACTAATTACAAACTATTTAATTTAATTTGGAACACAGCATTTTATTTCAAAATAGCCAGTGGCAATTTTTGTTTTAAATATCTTGATTACGATACAATGAAATCTTACCCTTGTGGTCATTCATGCGTAGTTACTTAGTACACAGGAAAATTATGTACTATGAAAATTAGAAGGCAAATATAAGCAATTTGATTGGACGAGAAGTTGTAAATATGTGCTAAAGGTAAATCTAATGTGAATTTTTAATTAACCTTGATTGTTATAAAAACAAATTATTTATCAAAACATCTATAAATGTTATTTGCATGTGGGAATAGAAGGAATAGTGATTTGTCATGGTGTGTTATTTGGCTTATATTTGTGTTAGTGTTATTTTGGATAAAAAATATGTTTTATTTTAAGAAAGAAAATTTTATATTTGTATTTTGTAAAATTTTTAATTAATTTTGGTTTAATTGATTTTACCTATGCTGTGGCATTAATACTCAAAATGTCACAGTTTGCTCAAAGCACTTTGTTTTTAAAATATTAATTGTAATTAGCATATGTCATTTTGAAAGTTTAAGATTTTATCAAAACATTATAGGATTAGGCTTTGTTAATTAAAGTCTATTTTTGCTAATGAGAGTAATATTAACATGTCGAGATATATTTATTTATTTTTGGATTTAGTATAAATATCGTTGTGAAATTTAGGAAAGGCATTTTTAATAGTTGTAACAGAGCTGGAAGGTATCATTTATCAGTTTATGATTTCTAAATATTAGAAATATAACCCCGTTGAATTTTTAAAGTAGTACACTAAATCAAGTACTACCAAGATAGCACTCTCTGGTATCTATACTGTACATAACTGCAAAACATGAACACTTACAATTTATTACACACAAAAATGTCAAAACAATACATTAATCTTATAGATCCTAATTATACATACACGGTAATACTATATATATTTTTCTTCTAGAACGTAAGTTTAAGAATCTTTTATAATATAAGTGAAGGTGCTATCTTTAGTCAAATTCAATATACAGAGAATCACAATTTACCAAGGACGTACGAGCCGCGGTATAATTGTATTAATGTATATACCATGTACGGGAATATGTCAGACCCCTTCTAGGATTTGCATATTTGGAAAAGTCAGATATGTCTATCCAAGAGTATTTGATACTTACAGTTCTCATGTATAAACAACAAACACACCTACTTACCAAATCATTTAATATTTATAAACAAAGCAGGCTAAGTTACAAATAACAGAAAAATAAGTCCACAAAATTTTTTCTTCTCACTATAAATTAACCACAAGATAATTAAGATAATTAAAATACACACCATAGTTCAGATTTAAATATAAAGATTAAATTTAAGGAAAAAAAAAAAAAAAAAAAAAAAAACTCACAATTTACTATAATATGAATATATAATACAGGTTAATTCCTAAATAATAATAAATTTTAAAACATTTATTTGAAATGTTTTTATATAAGGTAATCTGGCGCAATACCCGCCATTAAGCTCTATTTAGTAGTAGTAGTAGTAGGAAAGGCAGTCACCTTTCGGAAACCTAAACTTGCACTGCTAAAGTCTACTATACTGGATCTGTAAGACTGTTGATCATTTTATGATTTAGTAGTTTTGGCATTTATTTTACATTTTACATTGTAAGGAGAAATAGTTTTACTTTAGAGTTGATATTTAGATTTTTTACTTTGTACTTTAATTATTATTATTATTTGGCATTGTTTACTAATTGATTGTTATCATCATTCATCTAAATTGTTATCGTTAATTAAATTATGAAAACCTTCCTTGCGTTTTAGCTATGCCTATCAGAACATTAAGTCTAGCGATAGACTGACCCCCTGTCCCTTGGTTCTAGCACATACAAGTTAGCTCCCCCTTATCTAACAGTGCTGTGGGACCTTGGTGACAGATATGGTGGAGGACCCGGGCATGATACAAATGAAATTCTGCATAGCATAGCTAGAATGTAGGTTGGCAAAATTCATTCAAAATTATCTAAAACTTAAATTTTCAAAATTGAGACAACAGCAGGAGAGACAATAAGAGGAAGAGAGAACCAGTAACAGCAGAGACAAGTTGCAGATTCAACAACACACAACTAAAAGATAAGTACATCTTGCTTATTATATTACGCTTTAACATTTTAAGTGAAGAGTACAGATGTATGTTGATTCTTGGTGTGAATCTGTAATTTTATAATATTTGTCAACTTTACAGAAGTTAACGTTCAGTTCAGGAGAAACTTTATTTTGCAATTAATTTTATATGATTGGGAAATTTGACTCATAGTAGAGAGAATATAACATAAACAAGATATTGACAAAAATTCCTTTTAGTTTCAGTTTGGTAATGGGAATAGAAAAATCATGGGAAGAAAGAGAATTTCAAAAGGATGGTGCTGCAAAAAAGACAGATGTGCCAGGCTATCCAGTGTTATACCAGGAACAGAAGGTTTCCAGTTCACAACAACCATGGAGAGGAACTTTGTTGAAATTGGACTAGAGAACCTTCAAGTGAGATGTTTAGTAGTTAGTGGAGCTTCTTTTAACTGTATCAGCCAACATCAGTTGTATCGTCTAAACACCACTACAGCGATACAGAAATCAACAATCAGTAGTGCAATAGGTGTCTTTGGAGAAGTGCATGCAATAATCGGAGAAATAGTGCTTCAACTTTCTTTTGGACATCTTAGTAGAAATTCATAATTTTTTAACATAACTTGCTAGAGCTTATTTATTGGATTAAACTTTTTGTGAAACAACAAAGCAAAAACAGACTAAAAGAACAGAACTTTGACATTACCAACTCAGATCATTAAGACATTAGTGAATATCATGATGGTGCTTATCATGTTACCATAGCAACCTTCCAAGACAGTAGTACATAGAAAACAATCAGTTTCTATCTTTTTTTTGTAGTTCTAGGAATAAGTAGGAGTGCACACCTGTTGATTCTTTTTATACGACCGCAAAAAAAATTTTGTGGTCGTATATTGGTATGACGTTGGCGTCGTCGTCGTCGTACGGGGTCGTCGTCGTCGTCGTCGTCGTCCGGCGTCGTCTGGCGTCGTCCGAAGACACATTGGTTTTCGCACTCTAACTTTAGTTTAAGTGAATGGATCTTTATGAAATTTTACCACAAGGTTCAATACCACAAAAGGAAGGTTGTGATTGATTTTGGGGGTTATGGTAATAACAGTAAAGGAATTAGGGGCCAAAAAGGGGCCAAAAATAAGCATTTTTGTAACTTCCAGACATAACTTGTGTGTTAGTGTATGGATCTCTCTGACATTGTACCACAAGGTTCCATATCACTAAAGGAATGCTGGGATTGATTTTGGGGGTAATTGCCTCCAAATTTTAGGAATTAGGGGCCAAAAAAGGGGCAAAAAACAAGCATTTTTCTAGTTTCATGACAATAACTTGTGTGTAAGTGTATGGATCTTTCTGAAATTGTACTACAAGGTTCCATATCACAAAGGGAAAGCTGGGTTTGAGTTTGGGGGTAATTGCCCTAAACGTTTAGGAATTAGGGGCCAAAAAGGGGCCAAAAAACACATTTTTTTCTAGTTTCCAGACAATAACTTGTGTTCAAGTGTATGGATCTCTCTGAAATTGTACTGCAAGGTACCATACCACAAAGGGAAGGCTGGGATTGAGTTTGGGGGTGATGAATCATAATGGGGGTTCAAAAAATTTTGGGGGGGGATTTATTTTTTTTTCCTTTTTTTTCTTTTTTTCCTTTTTTGTTTCTTTTAAAATTTTCCATTTTAAGTTGGTTATTTCTGATTTATATTTAAAATCAAATAATAATGATATGGTAGGAGATACACACCAAACAGGATGTGTAAATTATTATATAATAAGTATTGTGCAATAGCAAGAAATTTTCAATTGCACAGTATTGCACAATAGCAAGAAATCTTCAATTGCACAGTATTGCGCAATAGCAAGAAATCTTCAATTGCACAGTATTGCGCAATAGCAAGAAATATCCAATAGCACAATATTGCGCAATAGCAAGAAATTGTCAATTGTACAGTATTACGCAATAGCAAGAAATATTTAATAGCACAGGATTGTGCAAAAGAAGATACTTCCTATAAATTGCTTATTTCTTGACCAATTTCAATGGGGTTTTATTCTTGATTTCATGGGGTTCTTTAATATGCTGAATCTAACCGTGTATTTAGTTTTTGGATTTTGGGCCCCGTTTTTAAATTGGTTCACATTGAGGTCCAAAGGGTCCAAAATTAAACTTTGTTTGATTTCATCAAAAATTGAATTATTGGGGTTCTTTGATATGCCGAATCTAACCGTGTATTTAGATTCTTAATTTTTGGTTCCGTTTTCAAATTGGTCTACATTAAGGTCCAAAGGGTCCAAAATTAAACTTAGTTTGATTTTAACAAAAATTGAATTCTTAGGGTTCTTTGATATGCTGAATCTAAACATGTATTTAGATTTTTGATTATGGGCCCAGTTTTCAAGTTGGTCCAAATCGGGGTCCAAAATTAAACTTTGTTTGATTTCAACAAAAATTGAATATATGGGGTTCTTTGATATGCTGAATCTAACCATGTATTTAGATTTTTGATTTTTGGGCCCCGTTATCAACTTTGTCCACATTGAGGTCAAAAGGGTTCAAAATTAAACTTTGTTTGATTTCATCAAAAATTGAATTATTGGGGTTCTTTGATATGCCGAATCTAACCGTGTATTTAGATTCTTAATTTTTGGTTTCGTTTTCAAATTGGTCTACATTAAGGTCCAAAGGGTCCAAAATTAAACTTAGTTTGATTTTAACAAAAATTGAATTCTTAGGGTTCTTTGATATGCTGAATCTAAACATGTATTTAGATTTTTGATTATGGGCCCAGTTTTCAAGTTGGTCCAAATCGGGGTCCAAAATTAAACTTTGTTTGATTTCAACAAAAATTGAATATATGGGGTTCTTTGATATGCTGAATCTAACCATGTATTTAGATTTTTGATTTTTGGGCCCCGTTATCAACTTTGTCCACATTGAGGTCAAAAGGGTCCAAAATTAAACTTTGTTTGATTTCATCAAAAATTGAATTATTGGGGTTCTTTGATATGCCGAATCTAACCGTTTATTTAGATTCTTAATTTTTGGTTCCGTTTTCAAATTGGTCTACATTAAGGTCCAAAGGGTCCAAAATTAAACTTAGTTTGATTTTAACAAAAATTGAATTCTTAGGGTTCTTTGATATGCTGAATCTAAACATGTATTTAGATTTTTGATTATGGGCCCAGTTTTCAAGTTGGTCCAAATCGGGGTCCAAAATTAAACTTTGTTTGATTTCAACAAAAATTGAATATATGGGGTTCTTTGATATGCTGAATCTAACCATGTATTTAGATTTTTGATTTTTGGGCCCTGTTATCAACTTTGTCCACATTGAGGTCAAAAGGGTCCAAAATTAAACTTTGTTTGATTTCATCAAAAATTGAATTATTGGGGTTCTTTGATATGCCGAATCTAACCGTGTATTTAGATTCTTAATTTTTGGTTTCGTTTTCAAATTGGTCTACATTAAGGTCCAAAGGGTCCAAAATTAAACTTAGTTTGATTTTAACAAAAATTGAATTCTTAGGGTTCTTTGATATGCTGAATCTAAACATGTATTTAGATTTTTGATTATGGGCCCAGTTTTCAAGTTGGTCCAAATCGGGGTCCAAAATTAAACTTTGTTTGATTTCAACAAAAATTGAATATATGGGGTTCTTTGATATGCTGAATCTAACCATGTATTTAGATTTTTGATTTTTGGGCCCCGTTATCAACTTTGTCCACATTGAGGTCAAAAGGGTCCAAAATTAAACTTTGTTTGATTTCATCAAAAATTGAATTCTTGGGGTTCTTTGATATGCTGAATCTAACCATGTATTTAGATTTTGGATATTGGACCATAATAGGTGAATGTCCAATTTAAAATTTTTAAGTTCTTAGACCACATTCAATCTGTGTTAGAAACCTATGCTGTGTCAAATATTTAATCACAATCCAAATCCAAAGCTGTATCAAGCTTGAATGTTGTGTCCATACTTCCCCCAACTGTTCAGGGTTCGACCTCTGCGGTCGTATCAAGCTGCGCCCTGCAGAGCATTTTATTACTACATCAATTTGAATTTTGGATTACAGGGATATTATATTATAATTCATCTGTTAAATTCCCTTACAAGGAATACAGGTTGCTGGAAGCTAGCACGTTGAAATAAATTGTTGGTATATTTATTTTTTGGCACCAGGTTATAGTTTGTAGTGTCAGAGTGTATTCAGATTTTTATAGGTGTTACTAATGTGAATGTTTATATCATGTTTGGGGACAAACATATAAGAGTAGGGGGGAATATGTCATGGTGTGTTATTTGGCTTATATTTGTGTTAGTGTTATTTTGGATAAAAAATATGTTTTATTTTAAGAAAGAAAATTTTATATTTGTATTTTGTAAAATTTTTAATTAATTTTGGTTTAATTGATTTTACCTATGCTGTGGCATTAATACTCAAAATGTCACAGTTTGCTCAAAGCACTTTGTTTTTAAAATATTAATTGTAATTAGCATATGTCATTTTGAAAGTTTAAGATTTTATCAAAACATTATAGGATTAGGCTTTGTTAATTAAAGTCTATTTTTGCTAATGAGAGTAATATTAACATGTCGAGATATATTTATTTATTTTTGGATTTAGTATAAATATCGTTGTGAAATTTAGGAAAGGCAGTCACCTTTCGGAAACCTAAACTTGCACTGCTAAAGTCTACTATACTGGATCTGTAAGACTGTTGATCAGTCTACCAGTTGACTTTGTAGTGTTAGACAAAAATGTTATTTTTGACTCACCTTTTATTTTTGATAATTTTTTAGAAAACAGTCAGTGTTTCGGAACCGTAACCTCTCACTACTCACGTCATGATACTGGACCTACAAGACTGTCTACCAGTCTACCAGTTGACTGTGTAGTGTTGAGACAAAATTTATCTCTGACTCATAATTTAACTTTGGAAAATACTTTTGGGAATCTTTTATTTTTGAGACTTTTACATTTTGATTTTGAGATTAAGTTCATTTTATGATTTATTAGTTTTGGCATTTATTTTACATTTTACATTGTAAGGAGAAATAGTTTTACTTTAGAGTTGATATTTAGATTTTTTACTTTGTACTTTAATTATTATTATTATTTGGCATTGTTTACTAATTGATTGTTATCATCATTCATCTAAATTGTTATCGTTAATTAAATTATGAAAACCTTCTTTGCGTTTTAGCTATGCCTATCAGAACATTAAGTCTAGCGATAGACTGACCCCCTGTCCCTTGGTTCTAGCACATACAAGTTAGCTCCCCCTTATCTAACAGTGCTGTTGGACCTTGGTGACAGATTTTTAAAAAGTGGAAATAGGAGGAAGACACCGTTTGCTTAAATGAAGTCAATGTAGACTCAATCAAATTTATTTTATTTTATTTTTCATATGGCTTCTTTACTATTTGAAATGGAGTTTATTGACTGTAAACAAAAATAAAAAATGATAATCTATGGGAGGTAACTCTAAGTTATATAAAGACAAATCAAAATCTATTAGAAAATTCAGTTCTGTTATCTGAACTGGATTTTTAATATTTAATTTTCCAACCTTCCACATTTATTATGAAAGCAGACGACAATTTTAACACTGACATTATTCTATGTATGTATGTCTGTATGTATTGTATGTAGTTCTGTTGCACATATTTAATGTAATTTTGAATTTTCAAAGTTTCAGAAGCTGATGGAACAGTTTTACTTTTAAATTTGAGAGTCAATATCAAATATTAGTTTAGGAAATAGACTTTATGAATAATTTAAATTATAGAATGATTTGGATTAAGTTAACTCTCAAAAATCATAATTTTATTAGTGTTAATTCCAATACAGGAATGATATTACCAGCTGACATTTACAAAATACAAATTAGTAAAAAAAAAATAAACAAAATATACAAAGACAAATATACAGATATATTTTCTCAATGATGAGAGACACACATTTTATATTTACACCAAGATGTCGTTAATTGAAATTGAAATTAGATACCCTTCATTTATCATGCTTTTCAATAACATATGATCAAATCCCTGAAAGACCCCCTTCCTAAATTATTGAAAACTATCATTCTGCATTGACAATAATATCTTGGTGTAAATTAGATACACCCATTCAGGCTAACGCCTTCAAGGTGTATCTAATACATACATTGGTGAAGGTGTTATCCATACTATACTATCAAGATATTAAAAAAAGCTTTAATACTAAAACAGTTCTTATAATATAAAAATAAGAAGATGTGGTATGATTGCTAATGAGACAACTCTCCACCAGAGACGAAATGATATGCAGGGAAGTGGCTTCTGGGTTGCAACACTAAAATCTAATATAAACAAGGAAATGTTTGAATCTGGAATAATTTTTAATTCTGGAAAATAGATAAGAAATTTATGATGAAAACTAACCAAACTAAAGAGGGTTAACCATGTGGGCATGGCTAAGGATTATTACTTTCACTGATATTTCAGTATGAACTAACTAACCCCCTTTAGCATGCATGGCTAACCCCCTTAATTGGGTTAGTTTTTATCATACATTTCTTATAAACTTTCCAGGATTCAAAATTATTCCAGATTAAAATAATTCCTTCCCTGTTAAATATTAGATTTTGGAACCAAACTTTAATACAAATGTAAATGGTGACATACTATGTGTTGAAGATCCCTATTTATTTTAGATCACTGTGTCAAAGTTCAAGATCAAAATTACTGAAAATCAATGATCAGTAGTTTGGTGCTTTTTATTAGGTACAAGGTACTGATACAATACTAGTACACCCTCAATGATCAACAAACAGAAAGAGTCAATGTGACCTTATATTGAAATTCTATCCTCTTAAATGCCAATCATATTGACCAAATTACTAACTACAGGCAGACACTTTATTAAGCAAATGATCCATCATCAATAAATAGTTTGATACATATAAAAATGATAGATTTAATAATTAACCTATTACTTTTGATCTACACTACATAAAGTTATTCTGCATGTTATGTATTTGACTAAATGATTAAGGATTAACAAGATTTATTTTTTAAAACCCTTCGAATGAAAAGAAAAAACAAAATATAAAGTCTGTATGAATAAAGATGTTCAAATGTGATCTATATTTTACTGGTAAAATCAGTAATCCTCTGTAATTAATCAATGATGTAGGATATTTAGTTAAATTTGATTGAAAAAGAAGTAAACCTTCAAAACTTTTAACCTGTGGAAGCTGCAATAAAAAATTGTGTTTATTCCAATTTTGTTCCACTGCAGGGAATTTGATAATTGATGCAGTCCTTCCAATCTGTCCTTCTCTCCATGGGACATTAATACTCAGAGACAATTTGACAGGAATCTTTCATTAATGGTTTGATTATTTGTCATCATATTCTCTTGACCATGCTATATAGTCATTTCATTTGACAATTTTTACAGGAGTTATGGATTATGACCATTTTTATGGAAGGAAAAAAACAGTTATTAATTTGGTGAAGTAGGTTGGGCATGCCACGGTCAGCTGGTATGCAATTGCCATCAGTTTTTTGTGCAATAACTTATGAACTATTTAAACAATGCTTTTCAAATTTTAATATGTTGATACTAATGACAAAATGGAGGTCAAGTTCAATAATAACGATTTTCACTTTTACTGTTCAGGAGTTATGGTCCGTGATTTATTGGAAAATGGCATTTTATGTCATTTCCGTTCAATAACTTATGACTTCTTCTTCCTATGGTTTTCAAATTATAATATGTTGTTAATGATAACAAAGTGGAGGTGAACTTTAATATTGACAATTTTCACTGTTACCGTTCAGGAGTAATGGTCCTTGATATATTGTAAAATGGCACTTTATTTCGTTTCCGTTCAATAACTTATGTATCCTTCTACCTATGGTTTTCAAATTATAATATATTGTTACTGATGACAAAATGGTGGTCAAGTTTGATATTGACGATTTTCATCTTTGCCATTCAGGAGTAATCGTCCTTGATATATTGGAAATTTGCACTTTAAGTTGTTTCCTTGCAATAACTTATGAACCGTTCAGCTAATACTCTTATAAAATTTTTATATGCTCTTGCTGATGACAAAATGGTAATCAAGTCTGATATTGGCGATTTTGATTATTGCCGTTCAGGAGTTATGGTCCTTGATAAATTGGAAAACAGGCATAGAATGTGGCAGGTTGAAAAAAGACTGAAAGCACCTTTCAAAATACTGTGAGAAAACCTAGTTGCTGTCAATTTGACAGTTCATTCCTTGTTTTGAAGTTCAATGATGACATCTTGTGAACTAAACTCGTCATAGTCAGTTTTACAGAAAGCTCTCATACCTTTGCCATCATGGGTAGTTGACCATATTGAACCACCATTTGATTCAACCATTTTTCCAGGAGTTATGGGACTTTTGACCATATATTGGTATAATTTGACAATAACATCTTGGTCATATTATACTGCCATTTTGATTAGACTATCTTTATGGGAGTTATGGACTTTGACAATTTTTTTTATGCCCCCAAGTTTTATCCTTGTCCTTTATACGTTGTACCGTCCATTCGTACGTCCCAAAATTGGTTTCTGTTCTTGAACTTGAGTTTGCCTCAACCAAATGTTATGAAACTTATCCACAATGCTTATTACCACAAAACAAAGATCGAGTTTGAATTTTGGTGGTATCACTTTTACTGTTCTAGAGTTGTGCCCCTTTAAATATGGAAAAATTGCTGAATTTTTTGTTTCCGTTCAATAATTTAAGTCTATGTCAACCAAATGTTATGAAACTCATCCACAATGTTTATTACCACAAAACACAGATCAAGGTTGAATTTTGGTGGCGTCACTTTCACCTTTCTAAAGTTATGCCCCTTTATAAATGGAATAAAATGCTCCGCTAGGCGCAGCTTGATTTAACCCTGAACAGTTGGGGCAAGTATGGACACAACATTCCAGCTTGATACAGCACTGAATTTGGATTGTGATTAAATATTTGACACAGCATAGGTTTCTGACACAGAATGAATGTGGTCTAAGAACTTAGAAATTTTTAATTTACCTATTCAAACCATATCATTATTATTTGCTTTTATATATAAATCAGAAATAACCAATTTAAAATGGAAAATTTTAAAGAAAAAAAAAATCCCTCCCCCAAATATTTTGAACCCCCTTATGATTCATCACCCCCAAACTCAAACCCAGCTTTCCCTTTGTGATATGGAACCTTGTAGTACAATTTCATAAAGATCCATACACTTACACACAAGTAATTGTCCTGAAACTAGAAAAATGCTTGTTTTTTGCCCCTTTTTGGCCCCTAATTCCTAAAATTTTGAGGCAATTATCCCCCAAATCAATCCCAGCCTTCCCTTTGAGGTATGGTACCTTGCAGTACAATTTCAGAGAGATCCATACACTTGAACACAAGTTATTGTCTGGAATCTAGAAAAATGCTTATTTTTGGCTCTTTTTGGCCCCTTATTCCTAAACGTTCTGGGCAATTACCCCCAAACTCAATTCCAGCTTTCCCTCTGTGATATGGAACCTTGTAGTACAATTTCAGAAAGATCCATACACTTACACACAAGTAATTATCATGAAACTAGAAAAATGCTTGTTTTTTGCCCCTTTTTTGGCCCCTAATTCCTAAAACTTTGAGGCAATTACCCCCAAAATCAATCCCAACATTCCCTTTGTGATATGGAACCTTGTGGTACAATGTCAGAGAGATCCATACAGTAACACACAAGTTATGTCTGGAGGTTTCAAAAATGCTTATTTTTGGCCCCTAATTCCTTAACTGTTGGTACCATAACCCCCAAAATCAATCCCAACCTTCCTTTAGTGATATTGAGCCTTATGGTAAAGAGTGCGAAAACCAATGTGTCTTCGGACGACGACGCCAACGACGCCAACGCCATACCAATATACGACCGCAAAATTTTGTTGCGGTCGTATAAAATTGTTGAAATATTAGTTTTTGTTCTATAACTTTAGTCTGCCTCAACCAAATTTTATGAAACTTATGCACAATGCTATTTACCACAATACACAGATCAAGTTTGAATTTTGTTGGCATCACTTTTTAACGTTCTAGAGTTATGCCCTTTTACAAATCTCAAAATTGCTGAAATATTTGTTTCTGTTCTCTAACTTTAGTTTGCCTCAACCAAATGT